TCCCCGCCCGCGGCGAGCCGGGCCGCAGGCGCCCCCAAAGGCTGCTTCCCACGCGGACACACGCGAGCGGCGCGCGGGGCCCCGCAAAGTTATTTTTTGGGGTGGTTGAGGTGCTACGGCAACACCCATACCCATCAGCCATGGCAAAGCCAACCAACAGTTTAATAAAATGGATCTAAAAGCAAAACTAATGGAGCAGACAAAGGCACAAGTCAGAGTCAGGCCTGCCATTTATACTGAGACAGGCATTTGATCACAATTTTACATGAATTTGGCTTTTAGGAAAAGTTAAGACATCAAATAACCTAAGGAAAAAATAGGGAATGAGATATTACTAGAAAGAGTACCTTCAAATCAAGAATGGCTCAGATGAATTTTCTGCCTGTATTTCAAGTTTACAGGCATGTGCGCAAATTGGAAAGTTTGTCAGACTAGAGGAAAGTTCAGGTCTTCCACCTTTTGGAGCCAAAACCCACTCTTAAGTACTCTTTAAACAAGAGGGGCTAAGTGAAATAAAGTATCTTCCCGTGGCGTGTTACATGTTTACAGAGAAGCAAAACACTGACTCCATGCAAGAACGGGAAGAGAGATGCAGGAAATGAGCTCCCCAATAGATCATTGGGGAAACTGTAAAAGGAGAGGGGGAAAAAAAACAAAGAACTCCCAGCAAAAAAATAGCCCAAAGCTGCATTTCAAAGGCTGCTCGCACTTAAATATCACAGGGTTACCCAAGGAAGGAGAAGGTGACAGCACAAAACAAAGTGGGCACTATTTCCTTGCCCATTTTCAGAAGAAAACCTTCACTTTCGTCTCCACTGCCTACATGGATCCAATTCTTTTCTTTACCTTTTCCGCATCTCTCCTTCCCTCTCCCTTAGCAATTGCAGCTTATAATGAACACGTGGCAATTTTAAAAATAAAAAGATGTTGCCAGAGCTCTCACACACCGTGTATCACATAGCTTGGAAACTCAAGGGACATGCAAGCCCTGAACTTGACCCCCCCCCCGCCTTTTTTTTTTTTCTTTGTTTTGTTTTTGGTATTATCTGTCATATATTTAGGGATTTTAAAAGCTTACCCTGTCCTTAAATCTGCCACCAGGGTCCCTGACATGCTCCTGCAGGTGTTCGCAGACAGGTGGGATTTAGGTACCTATTTGCCATGGTTAAGCCATGGCAAACGCTCCTTTTCCCAGAGGCTTAATTTAGGTAAACAGATGGAGCAAAAGGGAGGGAAAAAAAAAGGAAAAAAACTGTCTAGAAAATTCACAAGACAACCCAAATGACAATATTTATCGGGGAAAGCAGGGTGACACGGAGAGGATCTGCAATTGAAGTGCGGAAAATTTAAGCAGATGCAGTTTTTTTTTTAATTTTTAATCCAGTTCGGCTGCTTTTAGTCCAGGTCTTGCACAGAAAAGCCTAAGTGAGGTTGCTCATGGCTCCTCCAAAGCTTTTAAAGGTTGCTCAGCTACAAATATATATTGGGTAACGAAGACTTACGGGAATGTCAGCGCTTCATTTTTATAAACTTTATCCGTTCCCTGGTATGCTTTCCTCAGCATTGCAGTTCCCCGAGTCACGCCGCTCTGCAAGGCCCTTCCATTGGGGGGGGATTTTTACTTCTGTCTTTTGGTAAAAATGAGCAATTTGAAAATAAGAACCTTAACAGTTGCATCATGAGCATAAAATAACCCCCCTCCCAAAAACTAATAACAGAATTAAACTCGCAGGGACCACCATCGATTTGT